TCAAACCCTGCACTGCTAAGGAAGTAAAGCCTCTTGTTACAAAGAGAGTCAAAAAAGTCAACAAAAAGTGAAACAGGTGAAACGAGGAAAAACAGTGAAACTGAGGCTCCGGCTCTTGTGGGACTTCCACATCAGGGCAAGAGAAGAGCTTTATGTTTGCTGGAGTTGGGTGGATGAGGAATCTGAAAAGGTTCCTTGGACCTCTTCACACATCGAGTTGGCAGTGAGAGTGCAGATTCCGAGCGTTCCTTTATTGTGCATGTTGGAAATTGTCCGTAAGTGCTGCAACCATGGGGCTGTCCGCATGTGGTCTGATCTGGACGACCCACGGTCGGAAAAACCTCCAACTGCTTGTGCATTTTCCCAAAAGTTTTTGCTTACTGCCGGTTGCAGAGGCATGTTGAGGCATTAACATCTCACTGATTTGTTTCGGCCAGCGTGCGGGAGTTGTTGTGCACATCGTGATTGATTTTTTCAATGTTTTTCGAAAGATGAAATCATAAAGCTAAGGTAACCTAGCTTAAACTGCAGGTGTCAAACAAGAGGTTCACACCTTATGGCGCTTTCGCGGTTGTAAGTTCGTTTGGTTTATCACCAACGTCGATCACTGCGGTGCAAGTCTGATGATTTTGAATCTGGATTGTGTTTTTGTCGCTTTGTTGACGTTGTCGAATGTTCAGAGTACAACAACGTTTTAGGAACATTTTTGGTTTTCTTTTCACTACACACCCTTTGCATTTGCCTCGTGCTTTTCAATCACATTGTGTCAAGTTGCCTTTCCGTAGAAAAATTTAACCCATCTTGGCCATTATTGTTTGATGCCCATTTGTAGGCCCATTCGAGACATTCGCACATGTACGGGCACAAAATCTATGCCACACGATGCCACAAAATTTTAAAACCACAAAATGTGTTACAGTGGAGTATGTATTGAGAGGGAGCATGTTGCATTCCAAGCAAAAAAGGCAAACTTTGATTCTGTGCAACAGCCTCAATTTGTGGATTCGCCCCCGCTTTTGCTCCATCAATGGGATTTGTTGGGAGTGACACGTTTGTTATGATCAATGACTTGCCATGGTAGCGAACATTAGTGTGACGGATTGCCACCACCACAAGATGTGTCAATGAATTGATTGTCATACGGGGCTCCGGCCATTTTTTGTCAGCATTTTAGGTGTTGCATTTTTCCAACTCGTTTGTGGAACTCAATACATAAAGATCAGTATACATCAAATGCCAACAGTGCGTCAACACAAATTGCTTGGATGAAATGGATGGAGCAAAGCAGGCACACTTGCAAAATGGCAAAATGTTTCACATCATGTTTTTCCCGTGGTGGGAAAACAATGCTCGTTGGTTTGTCAGGATGACCCGTGCGCAAGGTTCATCGCCGAATCTCTTGAAGGGGTCACCGTTCGTGCGATCCTTAGGACTTTTAAACACGTTTGTAGCTTCTTGTTACTAATAGTAACAAGTGCCACGCTAGTAGTAACAAGTGCCTTACTAGTAGTAACAAAATTAAATTAAAATAAATTAAAACTTAATTCTAAATTACAAGCTTACTGTTACTACTAGTAAGGCACCTGTTACTACTAGCGTGGCACTTGTTTCTACTAGCTTCTTGTTACTACTAGTAAGGCACTTGTTACTAGTAGCGATGCACTTGTTACTAGTAGCGATGCAAGAGAATTTTGGAATCCTGCAGAATTTGTTCATGGTTGTGAGGCTCAGCAGTTCGAGACAAGCCCCGCTACAAGGTGAGAACATGGTGATTTCGCTGGACACAATGCAAAACTGCAAAACTTGGAACGTGTGAATGATCACTTTTGATAGTAGTCTTGACTACATGTTACATTACAGTATGGTCCGATTTGGCAGGTTGTTCAGGACAAAGATGGCCAGACCTATGCGCAGGCTCTACTACTTCAAACATTTATTCAATTTGTGAAATGTTTTTTCCCCATCCAGGGTGTTCGACTGCAGACGGAAAAGGCTCGCCATGCCATGGCTGTGTGAGAGATATTCGTTCTCCAGTTTATGAAACCAAGGTTGAGCGAGCCAGCCGGCGGTTGCAAGCTTTTGAGGTCACGGGGTCATACTTTTTCTATATTTTTGTATAAATAGATTATATATATACAACTAATTGTGATTGAGCCGGCTTACTTTCCATGGAACATGGGGAATTGCAGGGGGTGTAACTTGCTGAACATTGCGAGGTTAAAGAGATGGAGATTCAGACGGATGGTCCTGGGGAGATACTGAGCGAAGAGGCGAAACTTTATTTAGACTTTAGACTAGACAAGTTTCAGGTGCCAGTTCCGGAAAGAAATTTTCAGGCGGCTGTAGACGACCACGAGCTGGCAGTGTTCTTGCGAGAAGTAGCTCCTGTCATGGAGCAGGCGCATTGTGGAAGTGGTGTTTTATGATGTCAAACAGCTGTCTTGTGCTTATGGAATTGATGTCTTTCCAGGAACTGCAGCTCGCATGGCGCTCGTTGTCCCCTGGCCTTGAGCAGACCTAATCAGTAGTGGAACCCATTGAAGAAGCTCACGGTCCGCCGTCCAAAGCAGTAGGAAGAAGATATGACCAGTTCTTGTGGGTTTGCGCACGGTACTCGTAGCAGCAGACTAAGCCTAAGCATGATGATTGCAGGCCAGTCTTTGATGCGTATGTGTCTCAACCTTAGTGTGCTTTGAGCGGAGAGAATCTCGATCATGCAACATCTTGGCATTTGACGTGTTCCCAGGCCGCTGTGGGACGATGTGGCTGAGACTTGTGAAATGACACACCAGGCATCTGTGCTTGTGCGAATGGTGGATCAAAGTCCAAGACCCTCAGAGAGAGGTGCCCAGTTCAGCAACAGTCAAAGTGTTGCAGGTTTGGAAGGAAGGACTTGTCGATCTCCAGGCAGATCCGTTGGATTCCTTAACCTGCAAGCTCCTGTCAATTCATCAGCAGCAGAGGCAAATTGTGTTGCCAATTCATGCTTCCAAGTCCCAGACGCATGCGTGCATCGAAGAACACTCTTATTAGACGGTTGGACTCCTTGGAAGCGGTTTCTATTGCACTACGCCCCAAATGTACCAATCTTGACATTTCTCAAAGTGCGCACATATTTGAGCGGTATGTTCAGCGCGTGTTGTGCGCAGCACTTCATGGTATTGTTCGGTCGTTGGCTTGTGGTGGCAATACACTCACTAGTAGCCACCCTTTTGAATTCGATTCCTGACAAATAACACTTTGGTGAACCTAAGATGCTGGTGGGAGTTGATATTGGTGAGAGTACAGACCAGACTGTTGAAGTTCGCTGAGCCTTTTCTGGTCAGTTTGCCTCCTGACAGGTCACCAGCGTGGCTTGGAATTCGACGGGCGCTTCTTTGGCGTGTGCGTTTGGCAAGCTAGATACGTTCAAGCCTAAGAACGGCCAGCCGGGCCACTGTGGCGCTCCAGCTTCGTCTCCTGGTAGCGACTTTCATTTGGTTGCATTGGCTAGGCCTAGGCGTCAAACTCGAGGGATACAGCATACAGAGTCCAGTTGATAGGCTCACTTTTGGCTCCTTGTAACATGTCGATATCCCTGCCTTGGACTCATCCCGCAGCCAAGGTTGGGCTGGTGTGAGGTGACAGCACCTGTCTGTGTGTGGAACATATTCAGGCATGGACAGAGTTGCTTGACTTGATGTGCCATGTACCTTCTGTTAGATTCTATGCTCTCTCAAACCCAAGTCTCAATCCCTGGTTGCATATAGTTTATTGTGCCCTGCCGCTTCCGGCCAGTATGTCCATATAGACGCCTCAAAAGTTGCAGATCATCAAGTTATACATTACAGTAATGTAAATGTATTTCATATCGTGAAAGCTTTCAAGAGCTGCAGACTCTGCATGGCAGACAAAGCAGACAGACCTCTGGAAGGTTAAGGATAGAAGATTGCTGTTGACGAGCTTCTGACTGGCATGGAATTTCTAAGCAGTAAAGTCAGGACTTGGAAAATCTGTGGTGTAACACATGGTGGCGTACCCAACTTGTTGTCTACATAATTGTCTGGAAACCCACTCCAGCTCCCAAATGAAACGCATTTATTCTCACATTAGTTTTCTCTGAACAGATCTCATTTGCCAGGCAGTCAATCTAAAGTCTTGTGTACAGCATGGCATTTGCCCTGTACTCACTTGCTGGGCACGGATTCCCCACCACGTTCGTGCCGCAACTCAACAATCAGATGGAGAACACAGACAGGCCGCATCTGGTTGCTGGGGAGCCCGACACAGTCCTCCAAGTTCAGGGTTTTGTGATGTGCCGGTCTCTCAGGAAACGGAGACAACTTTAATGAACCAAAAGTATCACTTACCACTCAATGACATGATGACCCTGAAGCTACTAGTAACAAAGGGCATCACTACTAGGAGCAGCATGATGAATGTCAATATGCACACCACCTCAAGGCATCGCGTTTCATCCGACAAAGCCTAGCATTTTGGCGGGTGGCACTTACAACGGCGAGCTGCAAATTTGGCCACAACCCGAGGTACAAACTGCAAGTTGCATTGGTTCGTGACGTCAAAGCATCTGCATTTATATAAACTAGAAGCTTACTCCCTTACTTAATTAAGTAGGCAGGGGGAGCGGGCTAAAAAAAATCTTGCTTCCATTCTTTAAGGAACACTGGCTCTGGGGAGCTGGACCCACTGGTGGCCTCCTCCTCGATTGATGATTATCTCCATCGTGAGGTACAGACGGGCAAGAACGATTGCGCTCTGGGATTGAATTTCTGAAATCACATGACGCTTGTGTTTTGCTTGCCAAAGCATTCTCTGCTCAAGTCATGTTTCGATTAGCAGGCTTTTGCTCCACCCTGCTTGAGATGCGCCAGCACAACATGCAAGTGCACACTCAAGAGACTTGCTTCTGGTTTTGTTTGAAGCGCACCGAGTTGCATCTATGAGTCAGCTACCGCAACCTTTGAACCAAACAAGTGTATATAAAGAGATTCACAGTTGTCTTTCAAAATGACGCTTGCAGCGCTTGCTGTTCCTATCAGAGCCAGTGGCCTTCGGCTCGTTTACTTGGACTCGAGTGAAAGGAGTCGAGGCGTTTGCAACGGGACTAGTGTTGGGTGAGAAGAGAGCTTGTGTTCTTTGAATATATTTGTACATTTCTGGACATGTGTTGTATGTCTTCTCCCCAATGGAATAGCTTTACATGCTATATATATACACATATCATGGAACTGATACGTTACAACTAATGAATGTTGAATGAGCAAGATGATCCTCATGCAAGTTTCTTTCAGAGACAAAATCGTTCTTTCCTTCCTGCCTTGAAGGTCATTTCGCGGCTGCAAGGCCTAACAATCTTTGGATGGGCAGATGTTGGGCTGCCCCTGTAGCTGTTGCCACAGCTCTTAAAGTCCGGCACCACCCTTCGCGATGCTCACGATTCTTGCATGCACAGTTGTCGCACTTCCTCAGCGGTCTCATACTACTCTCAGTTGTCAAGTTGTCGGTGTTTTTAGAATAATACCGCTGGAAGGTCTACGGAGATCACGTCGATGGGCTTTGTCAACCACAGTCCTGAAAGACGTGAGTGTGCCTTTCCGAACGAACACTTTGTACAGTAACTCTTTTCATGGCTCCCTGGAAACTTCCATTCCATTGGGAGAAATAGCTGCGTCTTCCCTTTGTGAAGTTGCATCTTCCCCTTTGTCTATGTTTTCTTTATGTTCCATATTTGTAATCTTATTCAAGCCTCATATTTATCATAGTTTCATATCAGGAAGCCGAAGTCACAGAGCGGCGGAAGCTTCAAGAGCTGGTCTCCAAATGGCGAGCTGATGATTCGGAAGCCTGGTTGAGCCTGGCCACTTGGCTGGTTGAAGCTATTAAAGTTTAAGGTATTTAAAGCCCAAGTCATATTAGTCAGGAAATTCAAAACATCTGGGGTTGTGGGCGCTTTTTCCTCTCGGGTCCTGAAGTCACTGCCATTTGAACGACTTAGGCCCTCACTGCTGGGTTGTATTTATCATCCCTGGCATTGGTTCATTTGAGCGGAGGGCATTGGTCATCGATTATTTTTCTAGCGTTTGCTCTGGTTCGTGCCTTTATTGTCTTTCATGACGCAGCTCACTCTTCTTTCTTTGAGAAGCCAGAGCACAACAAATCCCTTGGCCAAGTTCTCCAATTCTTCATCAACTATAGCCTCGAGGAATGGAATGCAGTCCACAATTCTCATCATGCACATTTTGGTGCTTTGGGACTTGTTCAGAAGTGTGATTTGTTTTTGACCGTGCAACCACAGCATGTCCCTCAATCCCGTGGAACTTGTGGCCCAACACCAGTGGCCCTAGCATGACCCGCTCACCTGAGACCGCATGGAAAACCGTCGTTTGAGTGGAGGCTGCGCTTGAGCGGGACCATTCACAGTGGTACCGCGGAGCTGCGTTTCGACCATGGACCGTTCTGCAAGTTGGGGTGCTGAGGAGCGAGGACAAGCTAGTTTTTCCACGAGTAGGCACGGAGGAGGTGGTTCAGAGTTTCGGGATCGAGATCCCCCCCCTAGCTACTCCGGAGAAGATCCGGAAACCACGTTCCAGAACTTCGAGAGGAGCGTGAAGCTGTGGGAATGGGAAACTGACGTTCCCAAGGTGAAACGAGGGGCGAAACTGTTGAGGGCCATGACAGGCCTTGCAAAGCTGGCGGTGGAGGACATGCCGTTCGACGAAATCGCATGTGAAGAAGGTGTTTCCAACGTTCTTCGTAGGCTCAAAGAGTTCTTTCTGCCCCAGTTGGAAGTCAGTTTGCCCCGTGCCTTCGAGAACGCGGTCTATGGCCAGCATCGTTCAAGCAAGGAAGGGTTTGCTGAATACATAGGCCGCATGGAAAGAGCATTCGCCCGCCTTGCCAGGGAAGGCGTCGAGCTGCCGGATGGAGCGCAGGGCTACATCCTGTTCCGTCATTCGGGACTGAATGAGCATCAGGAGCAACGATTGCTCACCTGGTGCGATGGCAGGTACGACAAAGTCTCCATCGTGAAGGCCTTGCGAAAGTTGGACAAGGTCCTGAAGGACAAGGACCGAAGCAAAGGCACCTACGTGACGGAAGAGCTCGATGGAACGATTCAGGATGATGAGAACGTGACTGACGACGACCAGTACGTCTACCTTGCCGACGGCGATCTTGACGACATTTACGAGGAGAAGGGCCTCCAGACAGCTTTAGCCTCCTATCGAGAGGCCCGAGAGGCCCTGAAAGATCAGAGGCTCGGGAGGGGATTCTTTCCTCAAGCAGAAGGTGCACATCGAGCAGCTCAAGCTTCGTACGAGGTGTTGGAAGTGCAATGCCATTGGCCATTGGGGCCGCGAATGCACGCACCCTGAGAAATCCAAGATGACGGGTGGCCCAGGCTCGAATGCGACTTCGACATCAAGCTCATCCGCCGGAAAGTCCGGATTCTTTGTAGCTTCTCACCCCAGCAGTCAGATCGAGGGATCACACATGTGGCTGCGGGATTTTGTGAAGAGTTTTTCCAAAGAAGAGGGCTCGACCATGAGCCGTGAAGTGCAGTCCGAGGAGATGTACAAGGGCGCGCAGCGAGAGTCATTTTGTGGGATCACCACCAAATCCTACGAGGGAGTAGTTGACACGGCGGCCGAGGGCGGCCTTGTGGGGACTCTCGCTTTGTCACGACTGGAGGCGGCATTGACTCAAAGGGGACTCAAATGCAAATGGATACCCAAACAGTCTTCAGCAAAAGGGGTAGGTGGACTCGCACGTGTCGTTGGAGTGGTTTGGATTCCCATTGGAATCGCGGGGGTCAACGGCATACTGGAGTGCACAGTGGTTGAGGGTGAGGTTCCTTTGTTATTGCCAATTCAATTGTTGAAGCAGTTGAAGGTCGTGTTGAACTTTCGGGATTACACGTTCGTCATGTCGGAGCACCAGCTGTCGATCGAGATGCATGAGTTGCCCAGTGGACATGTCACCATCGAAGTGCTGCAATATCACCCAAATGGTTTTTCTCTTCCTGATGATGTGCCAGGCATGACCATGTCAGATTTTGTCACTCAGTGCTTCGTTGGAGCGATGTCGGCTCAGCTGATCGAGACTTTGAAGGAAGAAGACGCCTGTCCATCCCGAAGATCGACCTCACCTCAGTGCCATGGCGTCCATCGTCGGCCGCCTGCAGCAGCTGAGCGCCCCCTTTTCGACTGGCCCAGGAAAGAGCAAGGCAAAGGAGACCAATCCGGTGACCAGAGTCAAGAAGGCCTTGCGAGGGTGGCGAATGATCCTGGACAAGATCTTCACTTTGATCACGTTCATTCACCTCCAATCCGTCGCGCAGGAATGGTTTCCCGAATTGCCGTCGGGATCGCAGCCGCTGCACTCGGAACAGGAGGAGGAGACCTTGGAAGACATCTATGCTCGCCTCATCGTGTCGGCCAAGAAGCTGGCGCCTTTGAAGAGCAAAGAGAATCCCAAGGTGGCTGCCAGCAACTGCATCCACCCCAAGGAGAGTTTGAAGGGAGGTGGAAACCATTCGAGCTCGTACATCACGTGCCGAATGTGTCACTGCCGACGGGAGAACACGATGAGGTCATCGGAGATCAGGAACAGTCTCAAAGAGGACAAGAAGATGCTGAAGAAGGGCCACTTGAGTCAGGAAGGAGAGATCGGCTCGTACGAGTTCAGCCAAGCCAGGACAATGACCAAAGTCAAGGAGCATCTGGATCGATCATCGTTGGAGAGGCAGGTGGAGCACATGAAGAAGGAGATCGAGGAACAGAGAATCGAAATCCGGCAGAAGAGCATCCAGTCCCAGGTTTTGCAAACAGCCCTTCAGAAGATGGAGTTCGAGAAGGCCAAGGACTCAGAGTTTGCCAGGATGAAGGAGGTGGAGACGATGATCCCAGTCAAAGTGGACAAGCCAATCTGCGCCTGTGGACGGGAGGCCGAGCTCCGAGCCATGAAGAAGGAGAGCTCGAGACGAGGCCGGAAGTATTGGACATGTGCCGAGGCGGCCTGCGACTTCTTCCAGTGGCTCCCGAACGAGGCAGATCCGGATGCGATGTCGGTGGCGTCATTCAGCTGGCTGACACCTCAGGAGCCGAGTCAGAGATCCAAGAGCCCAAGGACAAGTCGGTCCGAGCCCAAGAGGACACAGGGTCCGATAGAGGTGGACAGCGATGGAGGGCTGTGAAAGACAGCACTGGAGGATGGATGAGCACCAGTTCGCTAAGAGGAAGAAGATGGCTTCGACGACACCAAGAAGTGCCCACGAACCTGCAGAAGCTCTTCAAACTGGAAGAAGACTATGAGGCATGGGACCCGGCCACCGGAGAGTGGCTTGAGAGAAAGGGCCCAGTCAAGGAGACGGAGGAGAGCATGATTCGAGTGTGGGCCACGTACGGAGACAGACTTGCTATGGAAGAAGTAGAAGGTCAAGACAAGGTGAAGTCTCTGTCAAGGAGGAGTCGCAGAAGCCTGACACAAGATATGGAGAAAGCCATGAGAACAGCCGTGGTGTCGGAGGTGTATTCTCCGCCAAGGATGGGACCGATCGCCGAGCAGAAGGGCATGGAGGCAGGCACGGCCTTTGACCAGAAGACCGGATGGGATCTTAGAGATCCAGCTCAGGCGAGGAAGATGTGGCAGACCTTGCAAAGGGAGGACCCGGAGCTGGTAGTGCTTTGTCCTCCGTGTGTGGCATTCAGTCCCATGCAAAACATCAACTACCCACAGATGAAACAAGTGATGGTGATCCATTTGATTGCCGAGGGACTACACCACTTGCAGGTCTCGATGCTCATCGCCAAATGGCAGTGGAGAAGAGGCAAGCGGTTCCTGTTTGAGCGCCCACGAAATGCCAAGTCGTGGGATGAAGAAGAAGTCAAGGAAGTTTCGAGATTGGAAGGAGTGATGATGGTGAACTGCGACATGTGCATGTTCGGGCTGCGAGTACGGCATGGACTCAACAAGAAGCCGACTCGATTGATGACCAATTGTGAGGAGATTGCCCGAGAGATGCACAGAGAATGTGACCATTCTCACTTCCACGAGCCCTTAGAAGGAGGAGGACTGACTCGGAAAGCCCAAGAATACACCACGGAGTTCTGTGAGGCTGTGATGAGAGGCTTGCGTCGCGCACTTCGAGGCAACGAATGCTATATGGAGGAGGACTTCATGGAAGAAGAAGGAGACGATGATGAAGTGGAGGACGTGCTGGAAAGACAACTACACGTGCCGGACGAAGTTTCAAAGGAGCCAAGACCAGGAGAAGACGCTCCGAACTATGAACCAACTCCACATGAGAAGCAAATGGCGCTGAAACTTCATCGAGGAGTTGGACACCCACAAGTCAAGGAGTTGGTGAGATTGATGAGAGCTGCTCGAGTCCGGGGAGAGATCGTGCGATGGGCAGCCAAGCACTTCAAATGCGAGGCCTGTGCTTCGAACCCAAGACCAAAGGCGGTGCGGCCAGTGTCCATTCCCCGGACATATCAACCATGCAAGGTGATTGGCATGGACTTGATCTTCATTCCGGAGATCGGAGGAGGAAGAGCCTTTCCAGCACTTTCGATTGTTGATTGGGGCACGAACTACCAAATGGTGGAGAAGGTGGAGGACAAGACCCCGGAAAGGATATGGAGCATGTTGTGGAACACCTGGATCCGGGTGTTTGGACTGCCGGAGGTGCTGGTGGTAGATGCCGGAAAGGAATTTTCCTCAAGATTGATGACCCTGGCGGCTTCATGTGGAATCGTCACTCATCAAATAGCGGCCAGAGCTCCATGGCAACAAGGAAAGACAGAAGGACACGGAGCTCACTACAAGGATCTGTTGGAGAAGGCCCGAATGGAGGCAGTGGTCAGCAGTGAGGAGGAGCTCAAAAGATTGATGCAGGAAGTTGAGATGGTCAAGAATAGATTCTCCAACCGGTCAGGATACTCTCCAGTACAACGACAAATCGGACAATGGCCCAGAGTATGTGATCATTCCATCACCGACGAACTGGTGGACACTTCGTTGATGGAGGCAGCCGTGGTCGATGACATGGAGAGACAACTGGAATTTCGAAGGGTGGCACAAACGGCCTTTGTGGAACACAACGCCAGAGAAGCCGTGAAGAAAGCTTTCAAGGCGAGGAGCAGACCTCCGCAAGAGTTTACTGCGGGCGACTATGTGTTCGTCTACCGAGTTCCACACCAAAGAAAGAGAAAGGTCGGTGGACCAGACTACATCGACAGAGCCACGGCCAAACCATACTGGGTTGGTCCGGGAACAGTGATATCCATAGAAGGAGCAAGCCTATGGATCAGCGTGTTCGGAGAACTATGGAAGGCTGCTCGAGAACAATGTCGACTGGCGACCAACGTGGAGAAACAGGCCATCGAGGTGATCATGCAGGATTGCAAGGAGCTGGTGGAGGAATACCGGAAGAGATCGAACAGGGCAGGATATAAAGATCTCACCAAGGAACCTTGGCCAGACGAAGAAGAAAAACCAGAGGAAGAAGCTCAAGGAACCAAGAGACCAAGGAATCCACCAGAAGAAGATGGTCCCAATGATGAAGGAGAGAGAGGCAGCAGAAGAAGAGTTGAAGAGCGTGGCCATGAAGAAGAAGATGCCAGGCATTCCGAAGAAGAAGGGAGCTACACTCCTACCGAGCCAAGAGAGAGGGAAGATGTGCAAGAAGTACCGCCTCGACCATCCAGTCGTACTTCCGATGAGCCGGAAGCAGAAGCTGAACATGAGGGAAGAAGAGAAATGGATGAAGAAGCTCAAGAAGAGAGAGAAGTAGTCCGTCCAGCCGGAATGAATCCGGAAGAAATCCAGGAGCACTACCGACGATCAATCGCTCAGGCAGATCGGCTAGACGACGTGCCTCCATATGGACAACCAATCAGGTGGAGATCGAACCAAAGGGGACAAGCGAGAAACCCGTACTTCCAGGAGATGTACATGGTCACGCCCGAAGAAGAAGAAGATGACCAAGAAAGGAGGTATCAACTGCTGACGGATGAGATCAGTCCGAGCAAGAAGCAAGACTATTGGCAGTTTGAAAGGGGAGGAAAACTCCTCCGAAGATATCATGTCAGAAAGAGGAAGACAAAGTTCGATCCCAGCAAATCAAAAGACCTCCCGTGTTCACTTCGGGAGATCAGTCTGAAGAGGAGGACGGTGAAGGTGAAGGAAGGCTTCATTGCTGAAGAAGAAGAAGAGGTATGGACTACTCCGACGGAAGGGCCATCTACCATATGGTGGAAAGGCTATACCGAGTTCGAGATCAAGGAGAGTTTAGAAGAAGAAAGGAAGCCACAAGCGGAGAAGATGATCCGGTGTTGGACGGCAGAGAGAAGAAGGCCAGAAGAAGTGAATCTCAAGTTGGAGGACGATGAGGCGAAGAAAGAATGGCGCAAGGCCGACAGAGCAGAGTGGGACAAGATAGTGCAAAGTGGAGCAGTGAAGGTCTTCGACCTGGTGGATTCGTTGAAGATCAGAGAAGATTTGAAGAGACGAGGCAAACTTGACCGCATCCTTCCATCACGGATGCTTCGAAAGTACAAGCATGCCGAGCAACCCGGAGAAGCACCAACGAAGAAGAGTCGACTTTGCATCAGAGGTGACAAAGACCAGACTTGCTAACTCTGGATCGATACAGCCCGACAGTGACGACGCTCAATGTCAATGTGCTGCTACAGATAGCTGCAAACAAGCGATACCCAATCGCGCTCGGAGACCTCAAAAATGCGTTCTGCCAATCAGCTCCCTTGAACAGAGAGACTGGAGAGATCTACTTTGAGATCCCCTCTGACGGTTTGGATGGCATGGACCACAGACAGCTGATACTCATAGTGAACGGCTGCTATGGTTTGGTAGATGCCCCACTGCACTGGAGGAAGTCCCTAGTGAGCAAGCTTGAGCAGTTGGGATATGTTCAATCCCGTATGGATCCATGCCTGTTCAAGTTGCACCATCAAAAACAGCTGTCAGGAATGGTAGCCATCGAGGTCGATGATCTGTTGACAGCAGGAGACCACATCCATGAAGAGAAGATGAAGAAGCTGAGGTCCATCTACCAATTTGGCAAATGGGTGGAACTTCAGAAGACAGAAAATGGAGCGAGCTTCAATGGAAGGAGACTTCAGCAGGAGAAAGATTTCACGGTGAAGATCGACATGAAGAAGTTTGTTGAAGAGAGGTTGAAGATGATGATCTTGCCGCCTGACCGCAAGAAGGCAAAAGACAGTGAGATCACCGAAGAAGAGCGAAAGGAAGTTCGCATGATCTGTGGAGCGCTCAACTGGCTATCGAAAGAAGGCCGACCAGACGCCTCAGCGGCCGCTAGCCTATGCTCCTCCAAGATCAACCGCATGAAGATAGAAGATGTCTTGATGATGAATGAAGCAGTCAAGGAGATCAAGGAAAACTCCGGCCTAGAAATCAGGATTCAACCTTTGAAGAAGATGAGGCTGGCAGTTGTGACCGATGCTTCTTTCGGCAACCACGACTTTCACTCCCAGGCCGGACAGATGATATTGAGCCATGAAGATGGCTTGCGAGAAGGGAGAAAGGTGACAACAAATTTGTTGTGGTGGCGCAGCGGGAAGCTGCAACGTGTTGTGAACTCCACGCTCGCTGCGGAGACGCAGAGTTTGAGCAAGGGGTTGGGCGATTTGATGTGGGTGCTGGTTCTCTTCCGAGAGCTTCAGGAAGAGAAGATGGTGTTGAGGGATTGGGCCAGAAATCTTCGTCATGAAGAGATCTTGGCTTTGGCCTCATCCCAGAGCGATGGACAGCTGAAAAGCTGCATGGCGATCGTCGACGCCAAAAGCCTGTTTGACTACCTGGCAAAAGAGACGATTGGAGGCCAGGACCGTCGAACGGCCATCGAGGTGCAGATCATCAGAGAAGACCTGAACGCCTTGAGTGGTGAAATTCGGTGGGTGGACCACCAATCCATGGTGGCTGATTGTTTAACGAAGCTGAAGGGCACTAGGACTGCTTTGTTTCGTTTGCTCGCCACCGGGTGTTTTTCCATCCAGGCGGAGGAGAAGCTGTTGCATGATAGGAAAGAAGAACGGCTGGAAGGCCGGTCAACAGCTGACATCCGAAAGAACGGATTGAGGGACAAAGAAAACTTTGGGAGCTGTGATTTGTTTTTGACCGTGCAACCACAGCATGTCCCTCAATCCCGTGGAACTTGTGGCCCAACACCAGTGGCCCTAGCATGACCCGCTCACCTGAGACCGCATGGAAAACCGTCGTTTGAGTGGAGGCTGCGCTTGAGCGGGACCATTCACAAGAAGGAAGAAACGTGTGTTTCATTTTGGAGTTTCGCCAAGAGTTCCTTTGTACGACTACTTTGTTCTGTTGTTTTGGCACCTTTCCACTTTTCCTTAGGTGACAACACGATCCGTGACAGTTCATTAACTATTTGGTTTTCTGAGCAAGAGCTGGACAACGCTGCCTGGTATTTGCGGTTAGTGCATCGTATCATCCGCGATCCGATGCTTGGCTTGAATGGATGTCCAGTGTTGTGAAGGCCAAATCTATGGAGGCCTGTCGACTGTTGACATGCAGCTGAAACTTTCTGCATACCAAGGATTTTCTTCTATCCCTTGGCCGGCCTGTTTGTGTGGGAGCCGTAGTGGAAGTCAGTCTAGTGTTGTGCAAAAGAATGCCGTGAGACAGAGGGTCTTGGCTTTGTAGGACTTCTTGATGCAGCTTGCTGCGTGAGAATCCACAGAACACAAGCAAGGTTTTTCCTGAACAAGCCGCAGCAGCACTGGCCATATCGAACGGTTGTACCGTTTCTTGCTTCTAAGCAGCACCTAAGCAGCCTAAGCACGATCATGAATCGGAGAAGCCCGTCTTCGCATCTCCACATGATGCATATTTCTACATACAGCTACAAGAGTTTTTGCAGCTGAGGTTTGGTACGGTCTTGGCATGCAGACACTTTGCGCATACCTTTTAGCTGCGTGGCTGGGAGGTTCCTTAGGCAGGAATGCCTGGCCAAGTAGTGTTTCTTCCAGAGACATGTCCATGAAAACCAGGTGTGGCATGCTTTCATTTGCAGCACCACTGCAATTCTCCGTACCGAAACTTGGATTGCAACGAAGACAAACAGAACTGTTTTGGACTGCACTTCGGAACTCTATAAACCCTACGGAGGGAAACCTTTAAGCCTTGGGTGATACAGGACACACACACACATACCACGCACACACGCACGCACGCACACACTGACTGACACACACACACACACTAATAGAAATGCGTACTGACTCGAATGCCGCTCGCCACATGGCAACCTAAGTTTAAAAAACTTGAGTAAACCAAGGCAAAAAAGTTGGAGGTCATCGCTCTAAGGTTGGAGGCCATCGAAAGCAGGTTGAGGGGCCATCGCTAGTAGGTTAGGTGTGCAAGCTGAAAGTGACACCAAGCAACAAGGTTGGAGGTCATCGCTAGTAGGTTGGAGGCCAGAGTACCAGGTTGGAGGCCAGTGCTACAAGTTGACAAAAGCATCAGTAAAGCAACAAGGTTGGGGGTCATTTCTAGTGCGTTGGAGGCCATCGCACCAGGCTTGAGGCCAGCACTACAGGTTCACAAGACACAAGCACAAACTTAAAACCTAGAGCAGGTACGCAGTGGGGTGTCCCGTCCCCCTGCTAAAAGAACATCGAGAAACAAAACAATCCAAAAGGAACCTCGCGACTCCAGAGGGGACGCACACACGCCTCCTCGAGGGGAGGCAAAAAGAATTAAGGCTAGGACGGTTGTGTAAATGTGCGCGCGGCAAAGACAAAAGGATGAAGACATGAGAAGGAGGACAGGACGGGACAAAAAGGTGTGTGGTTGCAATGAAAGAGAAGGCAAGTGCACAGGGACGACCGATGAACCCCACCTCCTTGTAAAGACCTGGGCGACCTGAAACCTGTGTTTAAAATGTATGTAGAAGTGCACGTACACACTAAGGCCGGGACCAATGTGCGCGCAAACGAAGAAAATGATGAGATGCAGGAGAACATGAAAGAAAAGAGGAAACCAAAGGTGTGTAAAGGGGAAAAAGGATGAAAAGGGAACCAAATGGAGGGGACGAGGACCGATAAAGCCGAACCTCATTAGAAACCCCTAGGAAGACCTCGCCTCGTTTGCATGCATACGCTGTGTGTGCACCTAAGAATGGGACAGGTTTCAATGAACCTTCAACTTGCTTTGACCGCTGTGGTCACCTTGTGCCATGCCAAAATGGCTGGCTGCTTAGACCGCTGCGGTCACGTAAAGGCATGAGCCAGCTTGGAGTTCAATAATTCAGCAAGTCTTGGCAAATAACTTTGGCCTAAGCCTACTTTGTCCGCTTCGGACACCTACGTTCCCGGGCAGGGGGAACAACGACAAACCCCCGTTCGACGGGTCCACAGGGGCCACTCTTCGGGGTCACCTGGGCTCTCACGAGGAGAGACACACTGATAGAAACTCGAATGCCGCTCGCCGCATGGCAACCTAAGTTTAAAAAACTTGAGTAAGCCAAGGCAAAAAAGTTGGCGGTCATCGCTCTAAGGTTGGAGGCCATCGAAAGCAGGTTGAGGGGCCATCGCTAGTCATCGCTAGTAGGTTGGAGGCCAGAGTACCAGGTTGGAGGCCAGTGCTACAAGTTGACAAAAGCATCAGTAAGGCAACAAGGTTGGGGGTCATGTCTAGTGCGTTGGAGGCCATCGCACCAGGCTTGAGGCCAGCGCTACAGGTTCACAAGACACAAACACAAACTTAAAACCTAGAGCAGGTACGCAGTGGGGTGTCCCCCACTGCATCAGCACCTACTGGCACCCTCTTCGTTGGACGAGAAATGCCAGTGGTGTCCCGTCCCCCTGCTAAAAGAACATGAAGAAACAAAACAATCCAAAAGGAACCTCGTGACTCCAGAGGGGACACACACACACACGCACATATAGGGTACTCTTTGAAAACAGAGCGAGCAGTTGTGAGGAGTTCCAGATGACTCCAGCAGAACTCATTTGGACGCTGCCATTCTGGGCAGTACGAGGCAGGGTTGAAGACACGACTGCAGACCCAAGCACTTAAACGACTCAAGGGCTTCGCTCGCAAGTCTTGCTGAAGTAAAGAACAACTGAGTATAGCTGTGACATAGGACGTTCTCTCAATTGCCATCTTACAGTGAAGTGTATTTGAGGTATAGATCGTAGAACCCCAAGATATGCAAGAGGTGTCAGACTGGACTGAACGTGCCGTGCCCCAGGATTGGCTTTGCCACTGGCAAAAAGAAAACAAGCGGTCGTGAATCAAACAATGACATGATTGAATGAATGAATGAATGCATTGCAGCCGCTGTGGGGGTCCCACTTTTCCACCCGCAGACGAAGACACATTACGAAGACACATTCAAGCACAGCCACCTCTCCTCCCGCAATGTGAAGACGATTTCCGCAGACGAATTCTCCGAAGACGAATTAGACCCCGAAGACGAATTAGACCCTGAAGACACTTTCCGCAGACGAATTCTCCGAAGACGAATTAGCCCCCGAAGACGGATTAGACCCCGAAGACGCTTTCTGCAGACGAATTCTCCGAAGACGAATTGGGCCCCGAAGACGAATTAGA